ATCTTGGCTCACTGCAACCTTCACCTCCTGGGTTCAAGAGATTCTCCTGCTTCAGCCTCCTGAGTAGCTGGGATTACAGATGCCCACCACCATGCCTGGCTAATTTTTGTATTTTTAGTAGAGACGGGGTTTCACCATGTTGGCCAGGCTGGTCTTGAACTCGTGGCCTCGAGTGATCTGCCCGCCTCAGCCTCCCAAAGTGCTGTGTTTATATAGGTATGAGCCACCACACCCGGCCTAGTTTTTGTTTTTTTGAGATGGAGCCTTGCTCTGTTGCCCAGGCTGGAGTGCAGTGGTGCGATCTCGGCTCAATGCCACCTCCGCCTCCTGGTCTCAAGTGATTCTCCTGCTTCAACCTCATGAGTAGTTGGAATTACTACTATTAGTAGGTGTGTACCAGCAATGCCCAGCTAATTTTTTTGTATTTTTAGTAGAGACGGGGTTTCACCATGTTGGCCAGGCTGGTCTCCAACTCTTGACCTCAAGGGATCCCTTGTTTCGGCCTCCCAAAGTCCTGGGATTACAGGCATGAGCTACTGTGCTGGGCCACTGTTGTTCATTTTTGAGTGGCTATTTTAAGAGGGGAATGTTTTTTTTTGTTTGTTTTTTGTTTTGAGACGGAGTTTCACTCATGTTACCCAGGCTGGAGTGCAATGGCGCGATCTCGGCTCACCACAACCTCCGCCTCCTGGGTTCAGGCAATTCTCCTGCCTCAGCCTCCTGAGTAGCTGGGATTACAGGCACGCACCACCATGCCCAGCTAATTTTTTGTATTTTTAGTAGAGACGGGGTTTCACCATGTTGACCAGGATGGTCTTGATCTCTTGACCTCGTGATCCACCCGCCTCGGCCTCCCAAAGTGCTGGGATTACAGGCCGGGAATGTTTTATCACTTAAGAAGTTCACAACTCGGCCGGGTGCGGTGGCTCACGCCTGTAATCCAAGCACTTTGGAGGCCAAGGTGGGCGGATCACCTGAGGTCGGGAGTTCAAGACCAGCCTGACCAACATGGTGAAGCCCCGTCTTTAAAAATATAAATAAATAAACAAATTTTACAACTATCGGTGTTGGTGGCACAAGTATATAATCCATGGAACTTGCCTGCCTGCCTGCCTGTCTGCCTGCTGGTCAGTTAGTTGCCAAACACTGATAAAGATGTCATAATAGGGCAATGGGAGGGGCAAAGGAATTGTGGCTTTGTGCAGGAGCGCAATTGTAATAACAGGCTGTGGAATGTTAGCTGGACAGGGAGGGAAGAAGGATGGCTGACAAATAAGGAATCGAGTAGAAGGTTCAAGTCTCTAGGAGGTTGGACAAATGAGCTTGAAGATAGGAGAGAGGGGTGTCTGAGACTGCTGTCAAAAGTCCAAGCAGTTACAGGTGGTTCCCCTACAGGTGTAACCATAGGAATGGGTGGGTAAGTGGCTGTGATTGAGTGGAGATCCCTGGAAGTGAAGATGTCAGGGAAGTGGGAAACCTAGACTGTTGGAAGGGTTGTCCAGTGATCTCCAAAGTCACCCAGGTTGTTGGTGGCAGGAGTTGGGTCAAAGAAAAGCAGTGAGCCAGGTGCTTCAATAGATGAGGAAAAGTAAGTCATAGATGACAGACATACATAGCATTTGTATGGGGCCTCAAAAAGAGCAGGGCTTTTATTCTATTCCCTTCCACCCATTTTCGAGATGGAGTCTCACTCTGTCACCCAGGCTGGAGTGCAGTGGCGCTCATTGCAGCCTCAACCTCCTGGGCCCAAGCTATCCTCCTGCCTCAGCCTTCTGAGTAGCTGGGACTATAGGCATTTGCCACTATGCCCCACTAGGTTTTTTTTTTTCTCCAGTAGAGATGAGGGTTTTTCTATGTTGTCCAGGCTGATCTTGAACTACTGAGCTCAAGTAATCCTCCTACCTTGGCTTCCTAAAGTGCTGGGATTACAGGCATGAGTCACTCTGCCTTTTTTTTTTTAATCCTTTTTAACGAGAGGCAAAAATAGTCTTAGCTTGGCAGTGGTGAGTCTGGAGGACTATGTTCTCTACCTACTGACCCCAGGATAAACATGTGCCAGAGAAAACAACTGCCACCTTTTGAGAGGCCTGCAAGTGAAGCATTGCCCTTGGGAGAGCCAAGTCTCAAGGCAGGAGCTTAGGGAAGTGATCCCAGGGAGAGGTTGTTAGGGCAGTGCTGATCACCAGGTTGGGAGTTTCAGATGATGATGTGGGAAGTTCGATGCTAGGGCAGAGGAAGGATGAGGGAGATGAAGTCAGTGGGTGTACAGGGACATCTGTGGGTGAGAGTATGGGAGACGAGGGATTAATGAATACAGAGATTTGCTTTTGAGTACTCATGTGAGAATTAGTGATTTTAGGGGCCTAGATGATGTTGGCGGATGCAGACATTGAGGCTCAGAAAGGTTTTAAAAAATTCTTCAAGGTCGGCTGGGCGCGATGGCTCACGCCTGTAATCCCAGCACTTTGGGAGGCCGAGGCGGGTGGATCACGAGGTCAAGAGATCAAGACGATCACGGTCAACATGGTGAAACCCCGTCTCTACTAAAAATACAAAAATTAGCCAGGCATGGTGGCTCACGCTTGTAGTCCCAGCTACTCAGGAGGCTGAGGCAGGAGAATTGCTTGAACCCAGGAGGCGGAGGTTGCGGTGAGCCGAGATCGTGCCATTGCACTCCAGCCTGGGTAACAAGAGCGAAACTCCGTCTCAAAAAAAAAAAAAAAAAAAAAAAAAAAATTCTTCAAGGTCATATAGCTAGGTCGTTGTTGAGCTAGAGTAAGAATGTCTGCTGGTTATAAAATGGTAACTATTTTCTCTCTAGAGTTGTTGAAAAACCTATGAGCAGAGGCTCCGGAGTGCTGGGAGGGATGACTGACTGCACCCTCTTCTCCTTTTCCCCTCCTCCGCTCTCTTCCCCCCTCTGAAGTACATGCTTTTTCTTTCCAAGTGATGTATTTTCTTTCACTGTGTGTTTGTATCCATTGCAGGCACTCAGTTTCCAGGGAAGTTAGGCAGATGGAAATTGTTGAGTAAAATGCCCAGACCTGGTTCATTCCAAACCTCACATTTTTTTTTTTTTTTTTTTTTTGGTTGCAACATGAGTACTTTAGAAGAAAGGGAGACGCGGGGTCTGTTTTGTGTTTATTTAAACTGTGTTTATTTAAATTTGACTCATTCACATTTGTATGAGACGTTTATGTCTGGTCAGATTTCTACCATCTTATTTTATATTTGTTATTTATTTTGTTTCCTCTGATTCCCTGATTTATTTATGTTTTGCTAACCTGATGGAGTTTTTAAACAATCCTCCATCAGTAAAGTTATGTTAGTAATTGCATTCATATTTATATCAAACATAATTAATTCTGTATTTCTCTATCACTTTACCAAAGTTAAATAATGACCATTTTGTAACCTACCCGAAACCTTTAGCATGCTTTCATGCTTTTGCTTTTCCAACCCCCATTACTTGATTCCTGGATTATGTTGAAATAATTTGGTATTTCAGTTCTGAGCTATTTCCTTATGATACGTTTCTTGGATTTTATGAATCCTTTTTTTGTTGTTTATTTGAGACAGGGTCTCACTCTGTCGCCCAGGCTGGAGTGCAACACTGTGATCACGGCTCACTGCAACCTCCACCTCCTGGGTTCAAGTGACCTTCCTGCCTCAGCCTCCTGAGTAGCTGGGACAACAGGCATGAGCCATCACACCTGGCTTTTTTTTTTTTCTTTTGAGACGGAGTCTTGCTCTGTCTCCCAGGCTGGAGTGCAGTGGTGTGATCTTGGCTCACCGCAACCTCCACCTCCCAGGTTCAAGCAATTCTTCTGCCTCAGCCTCCCGAGTAGCTGAGATTATAGGTGCGTGCCAACACGCCCGGCTGATTTTTATATTTTTAGTAGAGATGGGGTTTCACCGTGTTGGCCAGGCTGGCCTTGAACTGCCAGCCTCAAGTGATCCATCTGCCTCAGCCTCCCAAAGTGTTGGGATTACAGGTGTGAGCCACTGCGCCTGGTCCCCGGCTGATTTTCCCATTTTCTCGTAGACACAGGGTTTCACCATGCTGCCCAGACTGGTCTTAAACTACTGAGCTTAAACTATCCATCTGCCTCGGCCTCCCAAAGTGCTGGGATTATAGGCATGAGCTGCCACTACTGGCCCTTAGAATCCTTTCTTAATATATCTTCCAGCTCTTGGCCACATGACATCTTTCATTTTTAGATTCAGTTATTGTTATTTTTTTGCTGCCGTATGCAGCTCTTGAGGCTGCCCTGCATGCTAGGAAACACCACTCGTACTGCAGTGCCAGCCTTCCAGGTGAGCCACCCTTCCTAGGGCAGGGTTGCCTAGAGGTGCTTTTGTGTAAAAGATTTTTTTTTTTTTTGAGATGGAGTCTTGCTCTGCTGCCAGGCTGGAGTGCAGTGGCGCCATCTCGGCTCACTGCAACCTCCACCTCCCGGGTTCAAGCGATTCTCCTGCCTCAGCCTTCCGAGTAGCTGGGACTACAGGCTTGTGCCACCATGCCCAGCTAGTTTTTTTTTTTTGTATTTTTGGTAGAGATGGGGTTTCACCATGTTGCCAAGTTGGTCTCGATCTCTTGACTTTGTTATCTCCCTTCCTTGGCCTCCCAAAATGCTGGTATTACAGGCATGAGCCACTGCACCACCTGGCCTCTTTTTTTTTTTTTTAGATGGAGTCTTACTGTGTCACCCAGACTGGAGTGCAGTGACGCCATCTCGGCTCACTGCAGCCTCTACCCCCCAGGTTCAAGTGATTTTCCTGCCTCAGCCTCCTGAGTAGCTGGGATTACAGTCATGCACCACCACAGCTGGCGAATTTTTGTATTTTTAATAGAGATGGGGTTTCGCCATGTTGGCCAGGCTGGACTCGAACTTATGACCTCAAGTGATCCACCCGCCTCAGCCTCCCAAAGTGCTGGGATTACAGCTGTGAGCCATCGCTCCTGGCCTCAGTGACAAGTTTTAATAGATTTCCTGCCCACCACTATTTGTTTTCTTTAGCTTGGGATCTTTGTTCTGATTTAATTTTTATTTTGCCAGTAGTTTTATCCGAAAGGAAACACAGGGCCGGGTGTGGTGGCTCATGCCTGTAATCCCAACACTTTGGGAGGCTGAGGCAAGCCAGTGACTTGAGGTCAGGAGTTTGAGACCAGTCTGGCCAACATAGTGAAACCCTGTCTCTACTAAAAATACAAAAATTAGCTGGGCATGGTGTTGTGCATTTGTAATCCCACCTACTCCGGAGGCTGAGGCAGGAGATTTCCTTGAACTCAGGAGGCGGCGGTTGTAGTGAGCTGAGATTGTACCACTGCATTCCAGCCTGGGTAACAGAGCGAGACTCTGTCTCAAAAAAAAAAGGAAATACAGGTGGCAATCTTTGCTTACCTGAAAATGTCTTTTTCTTTTTCTTTCTTTTTTATTTATTTTTTAAATTTATTTATTTATTTATTTTTGAGACAGAGTCTCACTCTGTTGCCAGGCACCAGACTGGAGTACAGTGGCGTGATCTCAGCTCACTGCAACCTCCGACTCCTGGGTTCAAGCAATTCTCCTGCCTCAGTCTCCCAAGTAGCTAGGACTACAGGCTCACGCCACCACACCCAGCTAATTTTTTTTGTATTTTTAGTAGAGACGGGGTTTCACCGTGTTGGCCAGGATGGTCTCGATCTCTTGACCTTGTGATCCTCCTGCCTCGGCCTCCAAAAGTGCTGGGATTACAGGCTTGAGCCACTGTGCCTGGCCAAAAATGTCTTTTTCTTACCTTCATATAGTAAGAGTGATCTATGGGTTAGAATTTTATCTTTTTATCTTTGCAGTTTAGAAATTTCATCAGGATATGTCTAGGGTGTTCTTTTGGTTGTTAATCTTTTGTTTTGTTTTGTTTTGTTTTGGTTTTTGAGACAGGGTCTCTGTTGTCCAGGCTGGAGTACAGTGGCGCCATCATAGCTCACTATAACTTTGAACTCCTGGGATCAACCAGTCCTCCTGCCTCAGCTTCCTGAGAAGCTAGGACTACAGGTGTGTACCACCACACCTGGTTAATTAAAAAATTTTTTTTGGAGAGACGAGGTCTCACTATGTTGCCTGGATTAGTCTCAAACTCCTGGCGTCAAGCAATCCTCCCACCTGAGCCTCCCAAAATGCTGGGATGACAGGGTGAGCCACAGCTCCTGGCCTTGGTTGTTAATCTTGCTGCTCCCTGTGTCTTTCCAATCTGAAACCTCAAGCTTATGTTCAACTTAAGGAACTTTCATCTGTTATTTCAGAAAATTATTGCTTCTCCGTTTGTACCATTCTCTTTTAGAAACTCCTGTTGTTTAGATTTTAGCTGTCTTGGCTGTATTCTCCAGTTTTTATTTCGTATTTTTGCTTATCATTTCCATTTCTTTGAATTTTTGCTCTAAGTAAGCTCCCTCCTTTGATCTTCTAGCTTATTAATTTGGTTGTTAGTGATGCCTTTTTTTGTTTTTCAGTACTTCTATTGAATTTTTTTAAGAGACAAAGTTTCACTATGTTGCCTAGGCCGTTCTCAAACTCCTAGGGTCAAGTGATCCTCTTGCCTCAGTCTTCTAGCTAGCTACAGGCAGGTGCCACTGTGCCCAGCTTAAGTTTTGACTGTTAGAGCAGTCTGTGTTTATGTCTTTCTTTAACAGATGGGATCTGGCTTTGTTGCCCAGGCTGGATTAGAACTCCTGGGCTCAAGGGATCCTCCCTCCTACCTTAACCTTCCATGTAGCTGGGACTACAGGCATGCGGCACTGCACCTGGCTTTTGAATTTTTATTCAATATCAAGTTTAGGGAAATCTTTTTTTCTTACACAGTTCCTTTAAAGTATCTTCTTGATTCTCCTTAAGAATTTGCAGGCCAGGCGTGGTGGCTCACGCCTGTAATTCCAGCACTTTGGGGGCTGAGGTGGGCGGATCACCTGAGGTCTGGAGTTTGAGACCAGCCTGACCAACATGGAGAAACCCCCGTCTACTAAAAATACAAAAAATAAGCTGGGCGTGGTGGTGCATGCCTGTAACCCCAGCTACTTGGGAGCTGAGTCAGGAGAATTGCTTGAACCGAGGAGGTGGAGGCTGCAGTGAGCTAAGATTCTGCCATTGCACTCTAGCCTGGGCAACAAGAGTGAAACTCTGTCTCAAAAAAAAAAAAAAAAAATAGAATTTGTAGTAGCCCAAGACCAGCCTGGCCAACATGGTGAAACCCTGTCTCTACTAAAAATAGAAAAATTAGCTGGGTGTGGTGACAGGCACCTGTAATCCCAGCTACTCAGGAGAGTCGCTTGAACCCGGGAGGCAGAGGTTGCAGTGAGCCCAGATCACACCACTGCACTCCAGCCTGGGCAATAGAGCAAGACTCGGTCTTGGAAAAAAAAGAATTTGCAGTAGAATTTAAGTTCTGTTTCCTACATTAACTCTGCATTGGGAGCCAGCTGATGTGACTGTGGAGCCTGTTCTCTTGTGGTAATCTTGAGCTACTCATATAATATATTTGTTTGTATTTATCCTGATCTTCTAGAACCTCTCTCTCTAGGAATTCCTTGAGCTCTGTGAAGGTGGTAAGAATTAAAAGGAGCCATTCTTTTCAATAGGTCAACTGTGAAAGGGATGAGAGATGGGACTTCTTATTGAAGAAGGGGAGGGGCCTCATAAGTTCCTGGACTTTGCTAAGTCATGATTGGAGAAGTGGCAGACCTCTCCTTTTGGTATCTGAGGGAGGCAGTAGCATTTTGGCTGAGTAGGTCAAGTCCCTTTGGAGGCAATGGTCTGAGCAGGGTCAGCAGGAAGGGATAGTTCTTTCCCCACATACTGATGGCATCTGCCCAGGCTTAGTGGGCTGGGACTCCTCAGATTACCTTCTCATGCTGCCAGCTCCCTCACCTCAGCTGGCATTGAAATTCTTGAGTTGCCCTCAGCAGGAAGTCCTGGGGGAGGGAGGCGTCACAAGCACACATTCAGGTTACTCTCTTTATAGAATTCGTCTCAGAATTGTTTGAGTTTGCAATGAAATAATGTTGCACACAATATATCCAGTACTTCCTCTGATATTATTGCTGCCATCTGCGTCTCTGTCTTGTGCTGGATCTAGATAGACATGGTATCTGAGGCTTCCTCGCTAGGTTCCCAGTGTGGCCTGGCCTTGATTAAGGTGTCAACAAATATTGTGTAGGTGGATGATGGCTCTTTCTTTCTTTTTTTCTTTTGTAGAAAATAAAAAGCCAGGTGAAGGCTCCAAGGGCCACAAGAAGGTAAGTTGGCCCTACCCTCAGGTAAGGTATGCCTTTTGGGTTTTTTTTTGTTGTTGTTTTAATTTTTTTTTTTTTTTTTTATAAAGACAGGGTTTCACCATGTTGGTCAGGCTGGTCTTGAACTCCCGACCTCAGGTGATCTGCCCGCCTTGGCCTCCAAAGTGCTTGGATTACAGGCGTGAGCCACCACGCCTGGCCACCATTTGTTGAGGATGAGATCAGGAACAGGTTGCTTGTCCTGGGAGAGGCCCACTAAACCCAGTAGGTACTGGGTGACTCTGGACAGAGTGCCGCATTTGTGTCAGCGGATCTGACTTTCCTTCCCTCTGGCTGGCCGCAGCATAGAATCAGCAGCATTTTTCCCAAGCCATATGCTGCTTTGTGCTTGATTTACCTTGGTAGGGATTATTATTATCCCCGTTTTAGTTGAGGAAATTGTTAGTGAGAAAGTAACGCAACTGGGATTTGAGACTGATTCTCAAGTCCCTGTTTCTAATGGAGAAGAGGGAGGCAAGAATATCATCTCTGGCCCCAGCTCCTGGGTCTCCTGGTCCTGCTGGGAAAGGTGTGGGTAACTAAGGCTTGGAAAAAAGCAATGAGAAGAAGGTATAAGCCAGAGAAGGCTTGGGTTCTCACAGTTTAGGGTGGGGGAAACTCAAACTTTAACCAGCCCTCTAGCATCACCTGGAGGATGAGTGGAAACATCGATTGCTGGGCCCCACCTCAGAGTTTCTGATTCAGTAGGTCTGGCATGGCATCTGGTGATTTGTATTTCTAGCGAGTTCCCAGGTGCTGCTGCTACTGCTGGTCTGAGGACCGCACTTTGAGAGCTACTTATCTAGAAAGGTTTTGCCTGGGCCTTGGGAAACCTTCCCAGCTGCTCTTCCCCTCCGAGAGGTCTCCCGTCAGTCCCTGCCTGGCTGCAGTAAACAGGCGCTCTAAGCAGCCAGATGGGCAGATCTTTGGGTATGGAGCCCTTTTTGCCTGCCTCTCTCCTTTCTTTGTCCCCACAACTATACTTCTCTGAGAAGCTTTAACTCCTGCTGCTCACCTTGCGAGTGAGATGATGAGAGGATTGAGAGATGGAAAGAGCATTTATGAGGGGATGTTGAATTCCTTCTAGGGCTTCTTGTGGCCTTTTTGAGGTGATTTCCATGGGTTAATTACCTCTGGGTTTTTTTTCTCTTATGTGGTGGTCAGCCTGCAAAGCAAAATGGGAAGAAAGCAGCCTCCAAAGTACCCTCTGCACCTCATTTGGTTCACTGCAATGGTCATGCCAATCGAGAGGCTGAATTGAAGAAGAAGAGGGTAAGCTTTTAGTCTTGGTGGGGAGAGAGAGGTCCTGCCTTGAATGCCAGGTCCGCAGAAGTGTTGAATGGGCGGGCAAAGGCAAGAGTTGTTAGGGTTGTTGAGGCTACTGGTCGAAGCTAGGAGAGAGGGAGGTTACCGTGATCCTGGATTTATGTCTCCGTTTGCTCACCACCCAGTCCATTGCTGTCTGGCTTATGCTTCCACTGCTCCGCTGACACTACCCCTGCTGGCCTCATCAGCGCCTTCCCTGACATCACATTCATGGGTGGTGTTCTTTCCTCATCTTACCGAATGCTCAGCATTTGAGGCCACGCTTTCCCTGAAGCACCTGGACTTTCTTGTCATCTCCTGGAAGACATCTCCTGGATGTCTTCCTCTTTGACTAGCCATTGGCAGTCTCTTTTGCTACTTTTTCCTCTTCCTTATCCTTTTTATTTATTTATTTTTTGAGATGGAGTTTCACTCTTGTTACCCAGGCTGGAGTGCAATGGCACAATCTCGGCTCACTGCAACCTCCGCCTCCTGGGTTCAAGCAATTCTCCTGCCTCAGCCTCCCGAGTAGCTGGGATTACAGGCATGTGCCACCACGCCCAGCTAATTTTTATATTTTTAGTAGAGATGGGGTTTCACAGTGTTGACCAGGATGGTCTCGATCTCTTGACCTTGTGATCCACCCGCCTCATCCTCCCAAAGTGCTGGGATTATAGGCATGAGCCACCGCACCCGGCCCTTTTAATTTTTTTTTTTTTGAGATGGAGTTCACTCTTGTTGCCCCGGCTGGAGTGCAATGGTGTGATCTCAGCTCACCACAACCTCCACCTCCTGGGTTTGAGCAATTCTACCGCCTCAGCCTCCTGAGTAGCTGGGATTATAGGCGCTCACCACCATGCCTGGCTAATTTTGTATGTATATATTTTTTGAGATGGAGTCTTGCTCTGTTGCCCAGGCTGGAGTGCAATGGTGCTATCTCAGCTCACTGCAACCTCTGCCTTCTGGATTCAAGCGATTCGCCTGCCTCAGCTTCCCGAGTAGCTGGGATTATAGGCATCTGCCACCACGCCCAGCTAATTTTTGTATTTTTAGTAGAGATGGGGGTTTCATCATGTTGGTCAGGCTGGTCTCGAACTCCTGACCTCAGGTGATCTGCCCACCTTGGCCTCTCAAAGTGCTGAGATTTCAGGTTTGAGCTACTGTGCCTGGCTTTCTTCCTTATCTTTAAATGATGGAGCATCACCCGGGCATGGTGGCTGACGCCTGTAATCCCAGCACTTTGGGATGCTGAGTCAGGTGGATCACTTGAGGTTGGGAGTTCAAGACCAGCCTGACCAACATGGAGAAACCTCATCTCTACTAAAAATAGAAAATTAGCCAGGTGTGGTGGCTCAGGCCTGTAATCCCAGCTGCTTAGGAGGCTGTGGCAGGAGAATGACTTGAACCTGGGAGGCGGAGGTTGCGGTGAACAGAGATTGCACCACTGCACTCCAGCCTGGGCAACAAGAGCAAAAACTCAATCTAAAAAAAAAAAAAAAAAAAAAAGATGGAGCATCCCAGGACCTTGGCCTCTTTCCATCTCTCTGGTATTAAGTGGTTCTGCCTGCCTAGGATACCTTCTCTCTCTGCTTTATATACCCTCTTTTAATTTTTCTCTGCCACTCTTTTCTTCCCTTCATGTCTTTTGCTTCATCTCAAACTGTCATCTCCTGCTATCATATCTTCCCTCTCCCTGGACCCTGCTCCTCCCACCTCTGCCGTGGCGTGCCATTTCCTCTGTCACCCATCCCTCCCTTAGGCTGCAGACCCAGTCGGCTTCAGTCCCAGTGTGTGTTCCCTTGTTAGGTTAAGGAGATGAGGGAATTGCAGCAAGCTGCCCGGGAGCAAGAAAGACAAAAACGCAGGACCATGGAGAGCTACTGTCAGGATGTCCTGAGACGCCAGGAGGAGTTTGAGCATAAGGTAAGAGTGCAGCTGTGGCTCCTGGGTAGGCTTGCTCAAAAGCATCTTTTGCCTTTTTTCTGTGAAAGGGAAGAAGTAAAGGTGTGAAGTTGTTGGAGGGGAAGAAGGGAATCAGTGCAGAGAGGATGGAAAACCTTGGGGATGGATGAAGGGAGGGAGGGAGGGAGGGATAGAGATAAAGGGCCGTATTGCACCTTACCTGTGACTGGACACCCCTGGAGAGCTCCTGTCTCCCAAGGCTGAGCCTAAAGACTGGGGCTGGTGGTAGGGCTGGGGGCTGGGGGCTGGGAGAGGTAGGTGTGTCCAGAGGATGGGGTCGGGGGAGAGGGAGTGAGAATATGAGGACGGGATTGAGAGACAGGGAGGAGCATATGTGAGGGGATGTCGTCTTCCCTCTAGGGCTTCTTGCTGCTTTTTGGCAGATGTTCTTGCCTCACACACAGAGCACGCGCTTGCCAGCTGCTACTCCCCTTCCTGACGTGCGTGTGTGTCTTGCCTCCCCCATCCTATGTCCCTCATAGATTGTTTTTTTTTCACACCTCCCTCTTCCCTCCCTCCCTTTCACACCCCTGTGCACACTCAGGTCTCCTGCTGGTGCTCGAGCACACACATACACATAGGCGCACACAAGAGCCATGGGGGTCTGTTCATTTTTCCTCCAGCTCCCAGTTTTATTGGTTGGTCAAAGCTACTTTTTGGTGGGCTGAGACTCACATGGATTTTTTTTAACCTCCTGTAGTTTCCAAAGCCCTGCTTCTCTTATCTCTCTCTCTCTCCCCCTCTGCCTCTGGACTGTTCTCTTTTTTCTCCTTTAGGAGGAAGTTTTGCAGGAATTAAATATGTTTCCTCAGCTGGATGACGAGGCCACGAGGAAGGCTTATTACAAGGAATTCCGTAAGGTACAGGGCTCCATTTCTTCACAGTTTCGGGGAGGGCTCTAGTCCAGCCCCATTTCCTCTCCATTTCTGGTTTTTCCTGACAGAGATGGAGACTTTCTGTTTCATGGGCCTGCGTCACTGCTACCCTATTCTTTCCCTGCCCTCATCCCCTGGTCCTCTGCCCTGTAGGTGGTGGAATACTCTGATGTGATTCTGGAGGTCCTAGATGCCAGAGACCCATTAGGCTGCCGCTGCTTCCAAATGGAGGAGGCTGTCTTGCGAGCCCAAGGCAACAAGAAGCTGGTCCTGGTCTTGAACAAGATTGGTGGGTGTTAGACAGGAGTGGGTGTGACAGGGAAGGGGCCAGACCATCTTGAAAGTTTAGTTTGGACCGGACCCTGAACCCAGCAATTCAATAGTACTCATAATAGTCATGCTATTATGAGAAAGTAGAAATTTTAGTTCCAGTTTTCAAAGCCTGTATCACAGAGTATGGTATAAGTTAGATGTGGAGTCCAAACCTGTCTGCCTTTCAGTCCCCTGTTCTTGCCATTTTGAGCCTTCTCTGTGACTGGACAACCCTGGAAAGTTCCTCTCGCTCAAGCTGGAACCCAAAGACTGGGGCAGAGGAGCACATGGGCTTAGGAGTCACTCAGGTCTGGGGCTCGGCTCCCCACCTGTCCTGATTCTTTTCTCTGAAATACTGGATAAGTCATGCCACCTCCAAGAGCTATTTCTCTAGCTGTAAAATGGGCCACGACTATCCCAACTTCACAGATTTGTTGTGAGAATTAATGATTCAATGGTTGGTACATGGTCATTACTTCACACATGATAGCCATTCTTTTTTTTTTTTTTTAAAAGATGGGGTTTCACCATATTGGTCAGGCTGGTCTCAAACTCCTGACCTCAGGTCATCCGCCCACCTCAGCCTCCCAGCCTCCCAAAGTGCTGGGATTACAGGCGTGAGCCACTGCACCCGGCAGATAGCCATTCTTGTTACGGTGATCTTTGACATTCGGCCTAACCTAGAATGATCCAGAGAGGGGATGGGAAACAGCATTTGGGAGGCCTCTGATGCTCCAGGCGCTGTTTTGGAAAGAGTACATTTGGGACCAGACAGCTAGTTTGTCCATTTGCCCTGAGGGAACACAGGCCCCCTCAGGGTGGGCTAAGACATCTCATAGACCAGACTGTGCTTTCTAACTCCATCCTGGGGACTGTGTAGGACTGACAGGGCCAGTGTAGAGACCTGTTGATGGTAGGTAGGCCTGGCTTTGGGTGTGGGTGGAGGTGTCTTTGGAGGGAACCATGGACGTGTTGTTCTGCTTACCAGCCCCATCTGTTCCTATATTTGCCCCAGACCTGGTCCCCAAGGAGGTTGTGGAGAAATGGCTGGATTACCTTCGGAATGAGTTGCCAACCGTGGCTTTCAAGGCCAGTACCCAGCATCAGGTCAAAAACCTGGTAAGCCTTGGACTAGCGTCAATTAGCCTCTTTCAGGGGAGCTTGGGGCCAGAGTTGGGGGTTCGTGACTTGGTCTGGGACCTCCAGCCCTTTAGTAATTGAACTGGGCCTTCAACCTTGAGACTTTTGCTCCACCGAGTGACTTTTTTTCTCTTTTTTTGAGATGGAGTTTTGCTCGTTGCCTAGGCTGGAGTGAAGTGGTGTAATCTCGGCTCACTGCAATCTCCACCTCCGGGGTTCAAATGATTTCTCCTGCCTCAGCCTCCGGAGTAGCTGGGATTACAGGCACATGCCACCACACCCGGCTAATTTTTGTATTTTTAGTAGAGACGGGGTTTTGCCATATTGACCAGGCTGGTCTCGGACTCCTGACCTCAGGTTATCTGCCCGCCTCGGCCTCTCAAGTGCTGGGATTACAGGTGTGAGCCACCACACGTGGCCAGTGACTTCTTAATATTAGCTTAACTTCACTTCTTCCTTTATTATCACTCTTCAGTAAGCACTTTTTTTCAATTGTAAGGATAGTACATAACGTCTATAGGGAATTTGTAAAATACAGTTAACTACCTGCTAACTTTATTTATTTATTTTTTTGAGACAGGAGTCTCACTCTGTTGCCCAGGCTGGAGTGCAATGGCATGTTCTTGGCTCACTGCAACCACTGCCCGCCAGGTTCAAGCAATTCTCCTGCCTCAGCCTCCTGTGTAGCTGGGACTGTAGGCACGGGCACCACCACGCCCAGCTAATTTTTGTATTTTTAGTATGGAGACGGGATGGGGTTTCGCCATGTTGGCCAGGTTGGTCTTGAACTCCTGACCTCAGGTGATCCACCCGCCTTGGCCTCCCAAAGTGCTGGGATTACAGGTGTGAGCCACTGCTCCCAGCCTAACTTTATTTTTTATTTTTTGAGACAGTCTTACTCTGTCACCCAGGCTGGAGTACAGTGGCACCATCTCAGCTCACTGCAATAGCTGCCTCCTGGGTTCAAGCGATTCTTGTGCCTCAGCCTCCAGAGTAGCTGGGATTGTGGCTAAGTTTTGTATTTGTTTTTTAGTAGAGATGGGGCTTCATCATGTTGGCCAGGCTGTCTCGAACTCCTGACCCCCAATGATCCACCAGCCTTGGCCTCCCAAAGTGCTAGGATTACAGGTGTGAGCCACTGTGCCCAACCAACTACTTGTTAACTTTAAAAAATACATAGACCTTCATTCATTTTTCTCTTTGAAACAAATCACAGTTCTTCATAATTACATCATTAGTAGAGAAATATGTATTCATTGTAAAATATTAATGCAGAAACTGATTGCTTCTGGGGAGAGAAATTGGATACTAAGGGATATTTTTTTTCAATTTGGCACTGGATGTTAAACTTCTTAAAAAATAAAGTAGAAAAAATAAAATCTACCACAGATAAAGCTTAAATACCCTTTCACCAGTCTTCCTAATTCTAGTGTCCTTTATTCATGCCCAGTGGTAACTAACCATTGACAGTTTGGTGTGTATTCTTCCAGATTTTATTTGTTTTAGTTACAGGGTCTCAATTGGTCACCCAGGCTTCAGTGCAGTGGTGATGATAGCTCATTGCAACCTCACACTCCTGGGTTCCAGCCATCCTCCTGCCTTAGCCTCCTGAATACCTTGGAGTATAGGTGCATGCCACCACGCCAGGCTAATCTTTTATTTTTATTTTATTTTATTTTATTTTTTTGAGACGGAGTCTTGCTCTGTCACCAGGCTGGAGTACAGTGGCGCAATCTCGGCTTACTGCAACCTTCGGCTCACTGCAACCTCTGCCTTCTGGGTTCAAGCGATTCTTCCGCCGCAGCCTCCCGAGTTGCTGGGACTACAGGCATGTGTCACCATACCCGGCTAATTTTTGTATTTTTAGTAGAGATGGGGTTTCATCATGGTGAGAATGGTCTCGATCTCTTGATGTCGTGATCCACCCGCCTCGGCCTCCCAAAGTGCTGGGATTATAGGCGTGAGCCACCGCGCCCGGCCTATCCTTTATTTTTTTGTAGCGATGAAGTCTTGCTGTTCTTTTTTTTTTTTTTTTGAGATGGATTTTCGCTTTTGTTGTCCAGACTGAAATGCAATGGCACGATTTCAGCTTACCGCAACCTCCGCCTCCTGGGTTCAAGCGATTCTCCTGCCTCCGCCTCCCGAGTAGCTGAGATGACAGGAATGTGCCACCACGTCTGGCCGATTTTTTTTTTTTTTTTTAAAGTAGAGACGGGGTTTCACCATGTTGGCTAGGCTGGTCTCAAACTCCTGACCTCAAGTGATCCACCCACTTCAGCCTCCCAAAGTGCTGGGATTACAGGAGTCAGCCACTGCATCTGGCTTCTTGGCCTTTTTGATGGCAAAAATAGAAGCCAACTTTTCTGTGTTTTTTGAGATTCAGTCTCAGCTCTATTGCCCAGGCTGGAGTGCACTGGTGCGGTCCTGGCTCACTGGAACTTCTGCCTCCTGGGTTCAGGCGATTCTCCTGCTTCAGCCTCCCGAGTGGCTGGAATTACAGGCGCATGCTACCACACCCAGCTAATTTTTGTATTTTTAGTAGAGATGCGGTTTTGCCATGTTGGCCAGGCTGGTCTCGAACTCCTGACCTCAGGTGATCCACCCACATTGGCCTCCCAAAGTGCTGGGATTACAGGCGTGAGCCATCGCACCCAGCCAGAAGCTGCCTTTTCTGATAGCTGTGTTTCGTTTGTATTCCACTTTAAGGATATAGCTTTTTAACCTGTATTCTTATTGATGGATATTTAGGCTACTTCAATTTTGTGACACTAGAAACAATGCTGTGGCCGGGCATAGTGGCTCATGCCTGTAATCCCAGCACTTTGGGAGGCCAAGGTCGGCAGATTGCTTGATGCTAGGGGTTTGAGACCAGTCTGGCCAAAATGGTGAAACCCTGTCTCTACTAAAAATACAGAAATTAGCCGGGTACGGTGGTGCATGGCCGTAGTCCCAGCTACTTGGGAGGTTGCGGCATGAGAGTCACTTGAACCTGGGAGGCAGAGGTTGCAGTGAGCTGAGATCATGCCACTGGACTCCTGCCTGGGTGACAGAGTGAGATTCTGTCTTAAAGAAACAAAGTAATGGAAGATGAAGGAGGGAATTCTGGGCAGAGGAGGTGGCATCAGGAGTAAAGGTTGGGTTGGCCTTGTCCTGTGTGAGGAATTGAGGGAGAGTAGGCTGTGGGCCAGACACCCTCTCATCCCTGTGCAGGCAGGGAGGGTGGGCATCCCTGTTGTATGCACAGGGCACTGAGGCCTGGAGAAAAGAAGCCGGCTTTGCTGGGCATAGGCCTGTGAGAAGTAGACCTGGCCTATCTAGAGCCAGGATGCCATCCTGCCATTGCTGAGGGAGGCAAGTGATATGTGTCCAGCCAGAGGCAGGGGCAGAGAAGACTGGAGACACAAAGTGGAGGGGAATGCGGAAGTGACGCGTGTTCAGGATGTGTGTGCGAAGCCTTCTGTTTCAGGCTGAGGAGCTCAGTGATCATAGGGAGGCCCTGAAAGTTGGAAATCTGGGGTCAGACCTCATCTGCCCCCTGATGTCTCTTCTGTAATATTCATCTGTTTTCCAGAATCGTTGCAGTGTACCAGTAGATCAGGCCTCTGAGTCAATGCTGAAAAGCAAAGCCTGCTTTGGAGCTGAAAACCTCATGAGGGTTCTGGGGAACTATTGCCGCCTTGGTGCAGTGCGCACCCACATTCGTGTGGGCGTTGTGGGTAAGACCTGCTGGGTGGTCATGGGGCCCAGGCGTCTTTCTTAGGGGGTCACTTCATTGGGGAAAGGATCCTGGGAGTTTTGTTGTCTTTTGGGGGAAGAGAGGAGTGGTTCAGGAAGGGTAAATTGGATTGGTGGGCATCACTGTGTATTGAGTATTAGAACCATGGAGCAAATGCAGGGTACCAGGCTTGGAGTTGGCACCATCTTATCTTAACAGGGCTATGGAAGGGAGGGCTGACCATCTATCTTTTAGAGATGAAAATACTTTGTGAGGTCCAGAGAAGGGCAAAAGGACTTGTGGAGCCCAGCCCCGTGTGAGACAAGGTAGAGCTGAGGATCAAACGTGGGCCTTTCTGGAACACAGGTTCCTGAGGGAGGGAGGATGAGAATGAAGTAGGCAAAGTGAGAGAGGCAGAGATATAGATCATCAGAGAGAGAAAGTGAAGCATGAAGCCATGAGAGAAAGACATTGGAGAGAGAGCTGGACACGGAGAAGTTATAGGTACACATACCTGTATAGACACAGAAGAAGACCTGGAGAATGAACTGGGAAGCCAGATGGCAGGGTTGGTGGGGAATGGAAAGAGGGGACAAATTTACATGATGGAGGCATGCAAAGAGGGAGATAGAATCAGAAATACCAAAAGGGACATAGAGACAGGCATGCATACAGAGATCTGCAGAGGGAGACATAGGAATGGTAGAGGTACCCCATGCATGTGGAGAGGCACACGTGTGTTCACAAAGAAAGAATGAGAGAGGCAAACGCTACAGGGATAGAGACAGATTCAGAGAGAGATACACATGGAAGTAGACTGGACAAGAATGTAGATACAGAAGAATACATACACGTAGCTCTAAGTATACATACAGATCCACAAACACACAGACCCACGCTGCAGACCCAGAGGTCCAGAGGAGGCGCACCTAGAGAGATAGATCCAGAGTCAAAATGCATGCAAACCAAGCCCCTCCCACACATACCCACCCTAACGCTGCTCCCGCAACGCACATAGAGACACAAGGAGGGCCGGATGTGGCGGCTCATTTCTGCCTGTAGCCCCAGCACTTTGGGAGGCTGAGGCAGGCCAACCACTTGAGGTCAGAAGTTCAAGACCAGCCTGGCCTACATTGCGAAACCCCACAGCTACTAAAAATACAAAAATTAGCCCGGTGGGGTGGCGGGCATCTGTAATTCCAACGACTTGGGAGGCCAAGGCAGGGGAATCGCTTGAATCTGGGTGGCGGAGGTTACAGTGAGCCAATATCGTGTCACTCTACTCCAGCCTGGGCGACAGAGTGAGACTCTGTCTCAAAAAAAGAAGACACATGTGCCTATATACACTTTGACCTTCAAACATAATCACATACCCAGAGTCACAGAGGAACACAAATACACAGACATGTCACGATGAGGCAGATATGTGTACCTGTGCAGAGAGAAATAGACATAACCTCGTCTGTAGAGGAGGTTAAGGAGGCACAGATAGGCAGACAGTAGAAGAGACACCGTGAGCCACATACAGAGGGCCATCCACAAAGTGACCGGCCCAGATAACAAAGATAAGATAGAGAGAGAAACCGAGTGGGAGAGAGACAAGAAAAGGAAAAAGGGTGATACTGAGAATGGAAATGACAGAGAGAGAGAGAGAGAGAGAGACGGGGCGGGGGGTGTGCAGAGACTTCCGTGCATGGTGATATTTAGAATGAGAGTGAGCTAGAGAGAGGGAGGGGGGAGAGAGGTGTGCAGGGACTTCATGCACAAGAGGTATACTTAGACATATACTTTTTTTTTTCTTTTGGCAATCAGCTTTCTCGAGTTGAAACAAGCATATGCTTGAGAGAATAGTACACTTATGTAAATTGAGCACGTACAGAAAGAGAACGGTGAGAATGAGGCCCAGTGAGGGGAAACAGAAAGACATCTACAGGCTGAGAATGGCTGACAGATGCCCAAACAGAAAAAGACATACCTCAGGTAGACAGCTGCACAGAGAGACTTGCATCTGGAGATGACCTCCATCCCCATCCATGGACTGATACACCCGGACAGGTGGTTCTCTGTTTCTTAGACATTTCTCGATGTCCACCTTCTGTTGGATTGTGCCACCGAGGCCTTGCATTGAGTACTCCTGCCTGGCTGGTTGTGGGTGGGAGGTTGGTGTCACATCTAGAGAGACGGCTGTACCTATCTAGCATGCTTACAGATGGAGGGGAGAGGTAGAAAGGCCCTGTAGGGGCTGGGTCAGGGCCTGGGGTGGGAAGGGAGGAGGCCAGGCTCAATTTTTTGCCTTCCTCATGGCCTGGTCACTGCCCCTGGCTGGGCCTCCCTCATACATGCTGGCCTGAGTGTTCCTGAGGGCCTCTCCCGCCCTGAGCCATCTGCTGCTACTTTGCAGGTCTTCCCAATGTTGGGAAGAGCAGCCTGATCAATAGCCTGAAGCGCAGCCGCGCATGCAGCGTGGGAGCCGTTCCTGGGATTACCAAGTAAGCACCTGCTTGCTCCCCAACTCCACAATTCCTTGACCCTCCCATTTCCCCCCTACTCCCATGCCTTCAGCCCCTGTCCCTTTCCTTATCGTGGACCATCCCCTGATGCTTTCCCCAGGCATGGGAGTCTCAATAGCCCTCATTTTCCTGACACACCCTAGATGTAAGCCAGCTGCCCAGATGGGTGCTTCCCGTTAGTGGCTTGAAACTTCTGAATAGCCATACAAGATTGGGATACTAATGGGAGCTCTGTTGCCTGGATGAAGCAGCTGAGGCTTGGAGAGTCAAGCTTGCCCAAGGTCCTGCAGCTCAGTCCCCAGTGGCAGAGGCTAGAATAGAATCAGCCCCAAGTCTGTAGAGCCCCAGTCATCCCGTCTCCAGCTCTGAGTCTCTCCACCTTCATCCCTAATCACTCTCCCATCACTCCTTTATACCCCCACATCCCAGGCCCACCTTCGTGATTGGGGCCTCTAGGCTTTCTTCTTCCCCATCCTAGATTCATGCAGGAGGTCCACCTGGACAAGTTCATCCGGCTGCTGGATGCTCCAGGCATTGTCCCAGGGCCCAACTCTGAGGTGGGCACCATCCTGCGTAACTGCGTCCACGTGCAGAAGCTGGCAGACCCTGTGACCCCGGTGGAGACCATCCTGCAGCGCTGCAACCTGGAGGAGGTCCGCAGCAGAGCCCTGGCTGATGCCCTGCCCTGCTCCAAGGGCTCTTCATTCATCCTCATGACTTCTCTCCTTCCTGCCTTCACCAGATTTCCAACTACTATGGCATCTCTGGGTTCCAGACCACTGAGCACTTTCTCACGGCAGTGGCCCACCGTTTGGGGAAGAAGAAGAAGGGAGGCGTATACAGTCAGGAACAGGCAGCCAAAGCTGTCCTAGCTGACTGGGTCAGGTGAGGAGGGGGTTAGGGGTAAGGGCGGGGCCTGCTGGGAACCTGGCTCCACAAAGGGGTTCATCTGTGCCCATTGCAGCTGCTGGGGCAGCCTGGCTTCCTGGGTCTCAGGGCAGAGGATGGCCAAGGTGCCGGGTCATGGTCTGCTGGAGACTTTATGCCCAGTGATTATCCAGGAACTCAACTCCCCCTTGTTCAGAAGCCACTGTCTGGGTCTTTTTGTTCTCTTGCTGTTTCTCTGGGATTGGTCATTGGTTCTGTCAGTGACAGCACCACTAATCTCCCCTGTCTCCCAATGCAGCGGGAAGATCAGCTTCTATATACCACCACCACCTACTCACACTCTGCCCGCCCATCTCAGTGCGGAGATCGTTAAGGAAATGACCGAGGTCTTTGACATCGAGGATACTGAGCAGGCCAATGAAGACACCATGGAATGTAAGTGTGGGCAGGGTGGGTGCACTTGGCCTTGTACTAGTGGGACCACATAGACCTGGCAGCAGATCCCACGTTTGACCTTCCCCTTCCTTGGCCCTACTTGGGCCTTGAGCAAGTTGCTTAACCAGCTCTGAGCCTAATTTCTTTTCCTGCAAGGTGGGGAATTCTAATCTGGCCCTGGCATGGGGGAGTGGGGAGAGGATGATGGTGAGCTTCTGGTAAATACAAAAGAAAGTGCCTGGTACCCATTGAGGCTCCATTCCTGTCTCGTGGGACCTGGAATGGACTGAGACGTTCTCTTAAAAACTCTCTCATGTTGCCTTAGGCTTTTTAACAAACATTTCAGGTCCATTTCTAGATTTTCCTGCTTGCCTCCTTTGGTGAGTAAGGTACCCAAGTCACAGAAAGCTGACATTTGCCAAAAGGATGTCAGCAGAGGTGGCCTTCGAACCGGTTCTGTCCTGTTGAAGACTCTTCCAGCTCCGATGAGCTGGGTGTCCAAAAGTATAGACTGCCTGGATTCACATCCGAGTTTTGTTTCCTTTTTACTGTGTGATGCTAAACAAATTACTTCACTTCTTTGTCTTGATGACATCATCTGTAAAATGGGGACAATAAATCCACCCGATAAGGTAGTTATAAGGATTTATTTAATATGTAAAAGACATTTAGAACAATAGTGCTTGGCATTTAGTAAATAAATGCTCAGTAAATGTTAGTGTTTATTGATGATTATTTGCTGGGGAACAGAGATGTGACTCTCAGAAACATCTGAATGTTTGCTCTCCTCAGATATTACCCTCTGCAGCCCTGGCTTGTGGCTCCCTGCTTCATTCTCTTTGTTACTGGGTCTTTTTTTTTTTTTTTTTTTAAGACGGGGTTTTACCATGTTGGTCAGGCTGTTCTTGAACTCCCGACCTCAGGTGATCCACCCGCCTTGGCCTCCAAAGTGCTTGAATTACAGGTGTGAGCCACTATGCCCGACCCCTGCTTCATTCTCTACCCTGCCTAAGAAAGGTGCCCATTGCTCTCTGGGCTTGTCTGTAGACACTCTGGGGTAGCTGAGGAAGCCTTGGCTGGCTTAACGTCTAGATTCTCTGGTTTTTTTTTTTTTTTTTTTGCTTGAGGTCTAGTAGTTTTCCTTCTCTGGGTCTTTTAGTGTCCTTGTATTACACATCAGATTAAAAGGACTTGCCTGCTTTCTATCCCATGTAGGGTTTGGGCAAGTCAGCCCCCTTTTCTGAATTTTAATTTCCTCTTTTTTTTTTTGAGACAGAGTCTTGCTCTGTCGTCCAGGCTGCAGTGAAGTGGCGTGATCTTGGCTCACTGCAACCTCTGCATCCTGGGTTTAAGCAGTTCTCTGCCTCAGCCTCCTGAGTAGCTGGGATTATAGGCACCTGCCACCACGCCCGGCTAATTTTTTTTTATTTTTTATTTTTAGTAGAGATGGGGCTTCACTATCTTGCCCAGGCTGGTCTTGAACTCCTGACCTCGTGATCCACCTGCCTCAGCCTCCCAAAGTGCTGGGATTATAGCTGTGAGCCCTGCGCCTGGCCTCCTCTTTGAGGCAGAATCTTGCTTTGTTGCCTGGGCTGGAATACAGTGGTATGATCTGGGCTTACTGCAATCTCTGCCTCCTGGGTTCAAGTGATTCTCGTGCCTCAGCTGCTTGAGTAGCTGGGACTGCAGGTGCACACCATGCTTGGCTTATTTTTTTATTTTTAGTAGAGATGGGGTTTTGCATTTTGGCCAGGCTGGTCTCGAATTCCAGACCTCAAGCAATCCACCTGCCTTGGCTCCCAAAGTGCTGGGATTACAGGCATGAGCTGTCACGCCTCGCCTTAGTTTCCTCCTCTATTAAGTAGGGCAGTTGAGAGGGGTTTGAGCTTATGTTCTTATGATGATGCTTGACCCTGGCTGGACGTAAGGGCAAGAGGTGCTCCATCACCGAGAACGCATTTTGGCAAAAGATTGAGGTCTGAGAAATTGAGGAGACAGTGGGGGACAGGTTAGTGGTGAGGGTTTCATGGAGGAGTTGGCCCTAGTGCTGGATCTTGAAGGGTGAGTAGTGATTAGAAGGTCCAGGGTAGGGAATAGGGGCAAAATTACAGAAGCAGGCATGAGGGTAGTGAGGCACAGGGCAGTGGGCACATCTGAGGTTTGCAGTGGAGGCCAGCTTCAGTCAAGGGGCCAGAGAGAGGAGGGGAAAGTCCTGGTCCTGGGGAGGGAATCCCAGGGCCTGCCATTCACAGAGCAGCATCTTGGGCCCAGAGCATTGTAGACCTCTCTCATGTCTCACAGCAGCAGCCCAGTGTGACTAGGGCTTGTGGAATTCCCATTTTCCAAATGAGGAAGCTAAAGCTCTGAGTCCACCTCCCAGCAAGTGAATGTCCTACTGCAAAACCCATGCTTTTAATTCTTGGTCATGTGGCCTCTCAGCAGAAGCAAAAAAAAGTTCTTGCATCTGACTCTACTGGGAAGCATCCATGTATCCTTTTCATTGAGGCCTAACCAGGGGGTTGGCAACAGCGGGGAGCCAGGGCCCTGACACTGGTGTTGGTTGTGTTAAAGGCTTGGCCACTGGAGAATCTGATGAGCTGTTGGGTGACACGGACCCACTTGAAATGGAGATCAAGTTGCTCCATTCTCCGATGACGAAAATAGCAGATGCCATTGAAAATAAAACCACCGTGTATAAGGTACCTGTCCTCTTTGTTCATGGCAACCCTCGTCTCTCCCTAGGGCTCTGGGAAGTGGTTGGTCCCTTTTACCTGACTCCCATGTCATGAGATGTGGGAGGTTCATTCACTCCCTGTGGGCTTCTGGATGCCTCGTCTAGAGTAGAGCATCCTTTGCCAAGCAATGACAGGTCCAGGAAGCAGGCATGCTCTCTAAGACAGCTTTCCCAGCCCTGGTTCCAGCCCATAGAACAGGTATTACTGGCTGGGTGTGGTGGCTCACGCCTATAATCCCAGCACTTTGGGAGGCTGAGGTGGGCAGATCACAAGGTCAAGAGATTGAGACGATCCTGGCCAACATGGTGAAACCCTGTCTCTACTAAAATACAAAAATTAGCTAGGCGTGCCTGTAGTCCCAGCTACTTGGGAGGCTTAGGCAGGAGAATTGCTTTAACCGGGTAGGTGGAGGTTGCAGTAAACCGAGATCACGCCACTGCACTCTAGCTTGGCACCTAGTAACAGAGCAAGACTCTGTTTAAAAAAAAGAATAGGTATCACTATCTGGCCACCCAGTTGTCCAACTTGTAAACGAGTCTTCTCCCTAACTAGTACCAGGATCTTTTGTTTTTTGTTGTTTGAGACAGAATTTCACCCTGTTACCCAGGCTGCAGTGTAATGGCGTGATCTTGGCTCACTCCACTCTACCTCCCAGGTTCAAGCGATTCTCCTGCCTCAGCCTCCCGAGTAGCTGGGATTACAGGTTCACACAACCATGCCTAGCTAATTTATCGTATCTTTAGTAGAGACGGGGTTTTACCATGTTGGCCAGGTCTAGAACTCCTGACCTTGTGATCCACCTGCCTCGGCCTCCCAAAGTGCTGGGATTACAGGCGTGAGCCAATGGAGTTTTACTCTGTCACCCAGGCTGCAGTGCAGTGGCGCAATCTTGGCTCACTGCAACCTCCGCCTCCCAGGTTCAAGTGATTCTTCTGCCTCAGCCTCCCAAGTAGCTGAGATTATAGGCATGTGCCACCACGCTGGCTAATTTTTGTATTTTTAGTAGAGATGGGGTTTTGCCATGTTGGCCAGGCTGGTCTCGAACCCCTGACCTCAGGTGATTTGCCTGCCTCAGCCTCCCAAGTGCTGGGATTACAGGCTTGAGCCACCGCGCCTGGCCTGGGATCTTATACTTAGTCACTAAGACCTGTCTTCTCCCTCCTAAATCTTTTGACAAGCTGTCGTCTTCTTTTCATCTCTACCATTCCCATAACCCTAAACTAACTTTCCAGTCCTCATTCATTTAGACATATGTCTCATGGTTTCTAACGGCCCAGTCTGACCATGTCACCTCCGCTACTTAAACTCGTTTCATGGCTCCCCTGCACCTATAGGATCAAATCCACATGCCTGCAGCCTTCTATTCAAGATCTGCAGGGCATGATGTGATGACTCCTTGAGGTTTTTTCAGCCTCTTCTTCTGCCAGTCCATCTCCCATCTCTGCTCTTCAGAAGTTCATATGTTAGTGGATTTCAGACACAGACATCCACACTGTGATAGGAGACTCATAGGGTGCAGATACGGGTCGAGGTTGGGACAGCATGGATCCAGGGACCCTAACCTGTACTACCTGTGGGTCAAGGAAGTCTTGCTCGAGCCATATGTCAGTCCCTTTGCATACTGTTCTAAAGAACTGCCCAAGACTGGTAATTTATAAAGGAAAGAGGTCTAATTTACTCACAGTTCAGCACAGCTAGGGAGGCCTCAGGAATCTTACAATCACGGCAGAAGGTGAAGGGGGTGCAAGGCATCTTCTTCACAAGGTGGGAGGAAGGAGAATGACCACAGGAGGAACTACTAAACACTTACAAAGCTATCAGATCTCATGAGAACTCACTATCATGACAAGAGCATGGGGAAACCACCCCCATGATTTTATTACCTCCACCTGGTCTCTCCCTTGACACATAGGAATTATGGGGTTTACAATTCCAGATGAGATTTTTGGGTGGGGACATAGCCAAACCCCATCAAACCATGTCTTGAAGGCTGAGGAGTTCTCTGGGCAATGGGATCAAGCAGCATATGGTCCAGGGCCCAGCAATGTTGGCCAGCCTGGTCTCGAACCCCTGACCTCAAGTAATCTGCCCTTCTCCGCCTTTCAAAGTGTTTGGATTACAGGCGTGAACCACTGCGCCCAGCCAGAAACAGACACCATTTTTGGTACTCAGGTGTGCTCTATGTTTTTCCAGTGTTCAATCAGGAATGACCCCTCCCCATCAGTAGTTTGTTGACCACCACTATCATCCCTTACCTCTCAGTCACTCCTCCTTCATGTTTCTTTTTTTTTTTTTTAATTTTTTAATTTAACTTTAGGTGCATACTATATCTGGCATTTCTCATCCTTCATGTTTCTAATGGGCAGTTACCATACTTCATTTGTGGTATAGATCGTTGTATCTTCAGCTGGGTGCGGTGGCTCACGCCTGTAACCCCAGCACTTTGGGAGGCCGAGGTGGGCGGATCATGAGGCCAGGAGTTCGAGACCACTTTGGCCAACATGGTAAAACCCTGTCTCTACTAAAAATGCAAAAATTAGCCAGATGTGGTGGCGTGTGCCTATAATTCCAGCGACTCAGGAGGCTGAGGCAGGAGAATCACTTGAAGCTGAGAGGTGGAGGTTGCAGTGAGCCAAGATTGCGCCAGTGCACCACTCCAACCTGGGCAACAGAGCGAGACTCTGTCTCAAAAAATAAAAAATCTTTCTATCTTCTTTAGCCAGGTTATTTTCTGAAGATGGAACTGAGGCCGGGTGTGGTGGCTCGTGACTGTAATTCCCGCACTTTGGGAGGCCAAGGCGGGTGGATCACCTGAGGTCAGGAGTTTGAGACCAGCTTGACCAACATGGTGAAACACCATCTCTACTAAAAATACAAAAAATTAGCCAGGTCTGGTGACGTGTGCCTGTAATCCCAGCTACTTGGGAGGCTGAGGCAGGAGAATCGCTTGAACCCGGGAGGCGGAGGCTGCAGTGAGCCAAGATCACACTACTGTACTCCAGCCTGGGTGACAGTGAGAGTCTGTTTCAAAAAAAAAAAGATGGAACTGTGTCACTCATTTCTCTGTCTCCAGCATTGCTCCACACAGAGCTGGACACAAAGTAGGTGTCAGAATTCTTTTTTTTTTTTTTTTTTTTTTTTTTTTTTTTTACGACAGGGTCTTACTCTGGCACCCAGGGTGGAGTGTAGTGGTGCAGTCGTGGCTCACTGCAGCCTCCGCCTCCAGGGCTCAAGCAATCCCCCTACCTCAGCCTCCCAAGTGCCTGGGATTACAGATGCAAGCCACCATGCCCAGCTAAATTTTTTTTTTTTTTTTTAGGCAGGGTCTTGCTCTGTTGCCCAGGCTGGAGTGCAGTGGTGCAATCTTGGCTTACTGCAACCTGCACCTCCTGGGTTCAAGTGATTCTCATACCTCAGCCTCCCAAGTAGCTGGTACAGGTGCCCCTGATCACGCCCAGCTAATTTTTGTAGTTTTAGTAGAGATAGGGTTTCACCATGTTGGCAAGGCTGGTCTCGAACTTCTGACCTCAAGTGATCCACCTGCCTCAGCCTCCTAAAGTGCTGGGATTACAGGCGTGAGCCACTGTGTCCGGCCTGGAAAAGTGTTTTTTAATTGAGTAGGACCTTGAAGGGTCACTTAATCAGTGAATCACTGTAATACCAATTGTCATTGATCAAGCAACTCTGCCTTTTCTTTATATTCTTGTAAAAGCTATACAAACTACCCCTTATCTACCCTTCATTTGACAGATGAGGAAATTGAGGCTGAGAGTTAATTAAGCACCTGCTGGAGTGTTGTGGGGCCAGAATTGGAGCCTAGTTCTACATGGTTCCAGGCTCCTGTTCTTACCCAAGCCTGTGTTCCTGCCTTTTCTGCAGAAGTCTTTGGAGGTTCTCTTGGGGTTAAGAACTCATCGTTACGTTATCTCTCTCACCCTAGATTGGAGATCTCACTGGGTATTGCACCAATCCGAACCGTCATCAGATGGGGTGGGCTAAACGCAATGTGAACCACCACCCTAAGAACAACAATATGGTGGATGTCTGCTCAGTGGACCGCCGCCCAGTGCTGCAGAGGATCATGGAGACGGATCCCCTGCAACAGGGCCAGGCTCTGGCATCCGCCCTGAAGAATAAGAAGAAGATGCAGAAACGTGCAGGTGGGAGCCCCTGACCATCCCTACCTGGGATCTTCTCTCTGCCTGTTGGGTTCAAGTGATTCTCCTGACTCAGTCTCCTGAGTAGCTGGGATCACAGGCACCTGCCACCTCTCCTGGCTAATTTTTGTATTTTTAGTAGAGCCAGGGTTTCACCATGTTGGTCAAGCTGGTCTCGAACTCCTGACTTCTGGTGATCCACCTGCCTTGGCCTCCCAAAGTGCTGTGATTGCAGATGTGAGCCACCACCACCAGCCCCACCTGAGATCTTGACTGGGGCTCCTGAATGAGTATCTCTCTGTGTCCAGCTCCAGCCTAGGGTTGAGGGCAGGAATGAGCTAGGAGGCTCAACTACTAGCACAGTGGTTCTCAGACTTCAGCTGGCAACAGGATTCCCTGGAGGGTTTGTTAACATACAGATTTTTGGACCCTTCACTCATAGTTTCTAATTAGTATGTCTTCTTTGGTGCCTGTTAGGATTTGTATTTCTAACAGGTTCCCAGCTGATGCTGTTTCTCTGGGGATCACACTGGGAGAACCACTGGCCTGCCTAGTCTATGTATCAAATAACCAGCATTTATTTATCAGGTACTCTCTATGTGTTAGGTAGCTTGCAGGGTTTATATAATTTTTGCTTTATCAATAGGCATTATACTCAAAATCCTAAAGGTACAAGAGGATATACAGTAAAATCTCTCGCATCCCCTAGTCACCCAGACCGACCCCTAGTCAACCAGTTAGTTTCTTGTGTCTTTCCTGAGATAGATACACAGGCAAATATCTATATATTCTTTGTTCTCTTTTTCTACTCAAATGCCAGTCTACTGGACACATGGCTTTGCCCTATCATTTTTCCGCTCAGTATATCTTAGGGACATATCTACATCAATACACGAAAGAACTACTTTCCCTCATTTTAATGGTGGCCCATTGTGTAGCTGGCCCATTCGGGTTTCCATAAGCTGTGCTTATTTTTACTAACTCATTGCAAAAGTTTTCCCCTCATTTGATAAGTGAGAAAACTGAGGTCCAGAGACATTAAGTGACACATGGAAGGTAAGACAACTAGTAGTTGATGGAGCCAAAATACAGACTTAGGGTCTATTGACCCATCGGCCCTATTCTTTGAACTAGATTGTGTTCTGAAACCAAACGTACACAATCAGACATTCACTCTTGGCCTGGCTCCACACTGAGTCCTAGGAATTCAGATGAATTGTCCTTGAACTCCCAGTCTTATTAGGGAGTTGGGAGGAGACGAGAAAACAGACCTTGGCAGCACAAGCACATAGTAATCACTCTGAAGACCCAGCAAGCACAGTGAGGGAACCTGACTGAGCCTGGGGATGGTGGTTGGATAGGGGTGATCAGAGAAGGCCTCCTGGAGGAGGTGAAGTCTGAGGGGCATCCTAAGGAACAACAGAGTGTGTCTAGAGGATGGGAGTTGTGCATGGTGAACATTCAGGCTCAGAGCCCCTAGGGCCGTGCTGTCCTTTGCTGTGAGAGCTTTGTTTTGAGGGTAATGGTAGAGCGCTAAGTTTGACACAGTCAAAGAAAATTATTGCTTTGGTATTTGGACAACAATACTTGGAGCCCAGTGAAGCTGAAACCCTGAGATAGAAGCTATGTTGGGCTAATCCATTTTACAGATAGAAAAATGGATCGTCTACGTGTGAAGCTGAGCAGTAGCTTCCAACACGCGCCAGTTTTGTTTAGTGTTTGCGGCTAAGTGAGCCGGTTCAGGAGCTTAGTGCAGACCAAGGTAGACACAGGCCAGCGTCGGCAGGCCTCCTGGTGGCAAGTCAGTCACCAAGAGATTGCTTGTATCTCTCTATCTGCAGATAAAATCGCCAGCAAGCTGTCTGATTCCATGATGTCTGCTCTCGACCTCTCTGCCAATGGTGATGATGGTGTTGGTGACTAATCGACTGATCTCACTTCCCTTCCGCTCCAAGCGCCAGTTCCAGTGGTACGGGGGGAATGCCAATGAGATAGTTTGGTTCTCCCTGAAGCACCTACATATTAAAAGAACACTTCCCCCAGTATGTGTCTTCTCCCCCACTTCCGGTAAAAAGAGTCCCGGCTAGGCGCGGTGGCTCACGCCTATAATCCCAGTACTTTGGGAGGCTGAGGCAGGCGGATCGCCTGAGGTCAGGTCGAGACCAGCCTGGCCAACATGGTGAAACCCTGTCTCTACTAAAAATACAAAAAAGTAGTAGGTGTAGTGGTGGGCGTCTGTAATCCCAGCTACTTGGGAGGCTGAGGCAGGAGAATCACTTGAACCCAGGAGGTGGAGGTTGCAGTGAGCCGAGATGGTGCCATTGCACTCCAGCCTGGGCAACAAGAATGAAACTCCGTCTCAAAAAAAAAAAAAAAGAAGAGTCCCAAGGGGCTGCAGCTGCCAAATCCAGTACCCTCTATTTAACACCTATTCTGTTTTATAAGAGAAATAAAAGAAATCTCAGCAGAGCTCAGGTGCTAACAATTTACCCCTCACCTTGGGGTCCCACATTATAGATTGGGCTGGTTGAGGGCTGACCTCCCACGAAACTCTCTTAGACAGGTAAATATGCCACTAGAGGTTAGGCTGCTGGTGGACCTGGGGGTCCCTGGGGGAGGGTGATGATTTCTTTACCACCCCATAGGAGATTTCAGTGGCAAGACATTCCTGTAGTGGGCTTTGGGCCATCTGTCTTCCTTCCAAGTCCATAGGTCTTCACGTGGGTGGCAGTGAGAGGAAGGAGAAAGTAATGAGCCTCCTGTGTCTCTGGAAGGGTCCAGGGATAGGGCAGAGGGAGGAAGAGAACAAACAAGCCTGGCTTGTGCTGAGTGTGGTAGGCACTACCCTGTTTGCATGAAGAGAAAACAAGGCACTTGTTAGTAGGGAGGCTTTAGGGGCAAGCCCCTTGTTGGGGCATTTCTGGGCAGATTGTGAATTGGAGGAATCCCTTTAACTGAAGTACTCCGGCCAGACCCTGCCCTCGTGTGACCCTGTCTCCTATTGCACCAGCATTTGAATTCCATGAACCTCAAGAGGGTTCTGGTACCATTTATTCGCAGACTGCATCCTTGAGAGAGCTGCTATAGATGGGAGTGTACCAGCCAACTCCTTTTCCAGTGTCTGTAAGTCACCGCGTTAAAGTATAATTAGCTATCTCCTCCGGGAGATCCTACCTCATCAGACAAGGGCAGTGAGCCCAAGCAGTGCCAGAGGCCCTCAGAAAGGGACTGGGGTAGGTGATTGCAACTGAACAGAATCTTCTGACTTTGCCAGGGTGTTTTGGGGGTTTTTGCCCACGATTTCAGTTCCCAGCAATCTACTTGAGTCAACACATTTGAAGTGGGTAGACATACCATTACTGCAGTCTTGGACATCTACCCCAAACTTCCACACCATTCTTTGACCCACAGCTGCACTTTTTTTTTTTTTTTTTTTTTGCTCTGTTGCCCAGGCTGGAGCGCAATGGCATGATCTTGACTCATTGCAACCTGCCTCCTGGGTTCAAGTGATTCTCCTGCCTCAGCCTCCTTAGTAACTGGGATGACAGGTGCCCGCCGCCATGCCTGGCTAAGTTTTGTATTTTTAGTAGAGATAATGTTTCACCATGTTGGCCAGGGTGGTCTCAAACTCTTGGCCTCAGGTGATCCACCTGCCTCAGCCTCCCAAAGTGCTGGGATTATAGGCGTGAGTCACTGCACCCAGCCCCACAGCTGCATCTTAACCTTGCCTTTGCCTCTGCCTCTTAAGCTGGCGCCTCCTAATTTACATCCTAAGAGCGGAACCATGTGACAAGGACTGGAGCGCCATTGGCTGTGGGCTGTTCAAGCAGAGAAGTACAGACCACTCTTGTATTCAGGGGCCATCAAAGGAGAGAATCATGTACTTGTTGAGTACAAACTGCACCAAGCCCTGGGGACCCATTACCACCTCGAACCCTCAGTACAGCTCTGCTAGTAAGGGATTCATCTCCCCATATGAAAAAAAGTAATCTCAGAACGTTGGCCAGGCATGGTGGCTCATGCCTGTAATCCCTGCACTTTGGAAGGCCGAGGTGAGCAGATCACCTGAGATCAGGAGTTCGAGACCAGCCTGGCCAACATGGTGAAACCTCATCTCTACTAAAAATATAAAAAATTAGCTGGGTGTGGTGGCACACCTGTGATCCCAGTTATGCAGGAGGCTGAGGCAGGAGAATGGCTTGAACTCAGGAGGCAGAGGTTGCAGTGAGCTGAGATCACGTCACTGCACTATAACCTGGGTGAGACGCCATCTAGAAAAAAAAGTTGGCAGGATGGCCAGACCCAAGAGGGTGTATTAAGCAGTGGTGCTAGGATGGGAACCCAAGCGTGATTAAAACCCTGTGCGGGCCCTTTCCTCTGTGTTGTACTGCTTCCTTAAGAAAGGAACACTGATTAAGCCCCTACTTTGTGCCAGTGTCTGTTTTCAAGTCCTTTCAATGCATTTTCTCTTTTTTGGTTTAAAAAACTCTTTAGTTTCTTAAACAACTAGTTTTTAGTGTCTTGCTAAAACTACACTCTGTCCTTTTGAATAGGCTACAACTTACTTCACACTGTCTCATTGAACTCTCCTGGTACGTAATCGTGTCATATTGAAAAATTCCATACCAGGACAGCTATAAGGCCATTTTGTGACCATACAGCATTTTATAATTTAGCATTTAAAATACAGACAGTCCCCAACTTTTGGTGGTTTGATACAGAATTTTTGGTGGAAAAGCAGTATGCATTCAGAGTGCACCTCTACTTATGATGGGGTTACTTCTTGATAAACCCATTGTAATTTTCAACTTAGGGTTCATCAAGAGGTGTCCCCATCTGTAGTGGAGAAGTTCTAGGAGGTAAATATTAGAAATAGGAGTATCTAAATGGGTAAGAAACAGCATGGGAACATACTTTGGCCAAAATCAAGCCGAACTAAAGTAGTCGTGTCGGTAAGAATTTGGCACTGCAGGCCAGGTGTGGTGGCTCACACCTGTCATCCCAGCACCTTGGGAGGCCAAGGCAGGCAGATCACTTGAGTTCAGGAGTTCAAGACCAGCCTAAGCAATATGGCGAAACCTCGTCTTTACCAAAAAAATACAAAAATTAGGTGGGCATGGTGGCTCTGCCTGTAGTTTCAGCTATCTGGGGCTGAGGCAGGAGGATCTCTTGAGCCTGGGAGGTAGAGGCTTCATTGAGCCGAGATTGTGCCACTGCACTCCAGCCTGAGCAGCAGAGGGAGACTGTCTCAGGGGAAAAAATAAGAGAGAGAGAAAAAAACACTATGGGACGCAGATTTTCTACCTACAGCATATCTCAGTTTTTTTTAGAAGCAATTTAACTTTTTCCCTTCATTTTTCAAAACAGGGTATAATTTACATATAGTCAAGTTCACTCTTTATAGTTTTAGTTACATGAGTTAGTACAAACATATACAGGAGTGACCCACCACCACAATAGAAATATAGTTGCATCACCCCTAAAACTCTCCGGGCCCTTTTGTTATCAACTCCTACCCTCAACCCTCAGATTCTGCTAACCACTGATTCATTTTCTGCCCCTATAGTTTTGCTTTAGCATGAATGTCATATCAATAGAATCATACAATAAGTAGGCTTATTTTATGCCTTCATGTTTTAAAAATTATAAACATTTACATTACAGTAAAATTCACTCTGGTATACAGTTCTATAAAGCTTTGATAAATGTGTAGAGTTGGGTAAACACCAATACAATCAAGGTACAGAACAGTCCTCTTAGCCCTTCCCTGATTCTGCCATGATTGTGAGGCCTCCCCAGCCATGTGGAACTGTGAGTCCATTAAACCGAATTCATTCCTGCTACTTTACAGTCAAAACCTGTCCCCTACACCCAGCTCCTGGCAATCACTGTTTTTTTGTTTGTTCTTTATTTATTTATTTTTTTGAGACGGAGTCTAGCTCTGTTACCCCAGGCTGGAGTACAGTGGTATGATCTCAGCTCACTGCAACCTCTATCTCCCAAGTTCAAGCGATTCTCCTGGCTCAGCCTCCTGAGTAGCTGGGATTACAGGTGCCTGCTACCATGCCCAGCTAATTTTTGTATGTTTAGTAGAGACAGGGTTTCACCATGTTGGCCAGGCTGGTCTCGAACTCCTGACCTTGTGATCCACCCACCTCGGCCTCCCAAAGTGCTGAGATTATAAGTGTGAGCCATCACACCCAGCCTTTTTCTTTGTTCTTATATTTTTGTCCTTTTTTTTTTTTTTGAGACAGAGTCTCGCTCTGTTACCCAAGCTGTGCAGTGGCGCGATCTTGGCTCACTGCAACCTCCACCTCCCGGATTCAGGCGATTCTCCTGCCTCAGGCTCCTGAGTAGCTGGGACTACACGTACCTGCCACCATGTCTGGCTAATTTTTGTGTTTTTAGTAGAGGTGGAGTTTCACCACGTTGACCAGGCTGGTCTCAAAGTCCTGACCTCAAGTGATCCACTCAACTCGGCCTCCCAAAGTGCTGGGATTATAGGTGTGAGCCACTGTGTCTGGCCATATATTTTTGTCTTTTGAAGAATGTTATATAAGTGAAATTATACGGTATGTAGCATTTAGAGAGCGACTTCTTTTGCTATGAGTAGTACATTTGAGATTCATCTATGTTCCTCACTATATCAATAGTTATTATTTCTGAGTCACTCCATTGTGTGGATTTACTACTGTTTATTCCCCAGTTGAAGGATGTTTAGGTTCTTTGCAGTTTTGGACAATTACGAGTAAAGCTGCTACAAACATTCATATGCAACTTTTTGTGTTTTCATTTATCTATAGTAAACACTTAAGAGTTGGATTGCTGGGATATATGGTAAGCATATGTTTGACATTTTAAGAAACTGCTAAACTGTTTTTCAAAGTGGCTGTATCATTTCACATTCTCATCAGTATGAAAGTTTCAGTTCCACATCCTGTCTAGTACTTGGTGCTATCAGTTTATTTTTTTATTTTTCAATTTTTTAAAAAATTCTGTTCTATAACATTTAACTAGAGATGGGGTCTCACTGTGTTGACCAGGCTGGTCTTGAACGCCTGGCCTCAAGTACTCCTCCCATCTTGGTCTCCCAAAGTGCTAGGATTACAGGTGTGAGCCATCATGCCTGCCCAGTTTTTTTGACATTAGGTATACTAATAGGTATGGTTTTTATATGCATTCTCTAATGATTTGAGCATATTTTATGTGCTTATTTGCTGTCTACATATCTTTAGCAAAGTTTCACATCTCTTGCATATTTTGTAATGGGTTGTTTTATTATTTTTGAATTTTGAGGATTCTATGCTGGATACAAGTTTTTTTTTTTTTTTTTGAGACAGAGTCTCACTCCGTCACCCAGGCTGGAGTGCAGTGGTGCAATTCTCAGCTCACTGCAACCTCCGCCTCCTGGGTTCAAGCGATTCTCCTGCCTCAGCCTCCCGAGTAGCTGGGATTTCAGGCACACGCCA